TATGCAGGCTTACTTTTTTCCCTCTCTTAAACCATAGTTGAATTACCCAAATTAAGATGCTTATATTTAGTTTAAAAAAATTTTAATTTATTTTATGTATTTCTTCTTGCGAGCATGACTCCCTGTGTGTGTGTGTATACATGTGTACTAGCACATCTTTCATCTCCCCCTTTTTTCTCACCATTTCTTTTGTTATTTCTTTCTGTACATCATTTCTTCATTTCATGATGAAATTTATGTTTGCATTTTTCATCTGCTCCATAAAAATGTCTTTGTGGTCTGTACCCTACACTTTAACTTAATAAAATTAGCAGCTCTTTTTTCTTATAATATCTTTCTATCGATAACTTCCGATAACTTGGAAGCTCTTTTTGAAAATCACATCACTGACTCAGGTTCCCACAGGAGGTGAGTGACCCGACTGGCATCCCAGGCAGGCTGGTTATGCAGGCAAAGGCTCTCCGTGTTTCAGTTTCCACAAAGACAGAGACAGGGCTGAACTGTCTGAGAGATTGTGCAACCTCTTCCCACCCCCACCCTCTCTGTTTTTATGACTCGAAGCTACCCAAGACGTCCCTACTGCCACCTAACTCATTGCCTGTTACAGTCAAGGGACAGAAACGTGGACTGCAGTGTTTTTCTTGCTGCGTTCTCAGATCTTCTGCCATTGGCTGCCTTTAAGTCTGGGCAAAAGAGGCCCTGCCCGGAGTTCTCTGTCAGTGGAACCCATGCATCACAAACACTGAAACTCAAAGCTACTTTCCCCCCCTTTCTCGTGTTTATTTAAAAGAAACGTTTTTGAAAGATTGGTAACGGGAGATGTGAACAGAGATTACAGGAGAGGGATGTAGGAATCAGCTAGACTTCCCAGGCCAGAAGGTGGTATTTAGACTAGGGGTTGGTCAGGTTTACACGAAAGTTACAGCTCTTTCTCCTTCCTCGGGGCAGTGACTAGGAGGTGAGGCGTGGGGTTGAACATTACAGCCACTCCTTGGGAAGGGAGAAAACGAAGCTGCTTTCGTTTAACGTTAACTGCCTCAAAGCACCTGATGCAGGTAATTGGGGGAAACTGGGTTCCTGGAAAAATGAGCTGCCTTACTCCCGTCTCCAGAAGGCTCAGACACCTGCAATTACTATCAGGAGTGTGGCTGGGGGAGTGGAATCCTGTCTCAGGCTGAGTCCAGCCTGCCTTACCCTGGCAGCAGGAGAGGCCCAGGGGGAAATGAGGACCTTTCATCTCCAGGTCTCTAGGGCAAATGCCTAAGGAGCAGTGGGGCTGTGGGCCTCTGAGTGGATCAACGGTTGGACTGAGCTTGATATTTAACGCATAAATATTTTCAGATATGGTATATGGACGTTTTTTGTCCTTTTGACGCAGGTCCTGCTGATATTAGTGGCGAGACTGGCCACTGGTTTGTCGATTAAGTACAGTTCTAATCCTTAATTTTATTGGCCATGAGTCTCTAAATTCATAAACAACACTGGCACTCCCTCTAGTGGTGTTTTATCAATCACATGCCTTTCAATGAATGTTACAAGTACCGCCTTTGCAGGGCATCGGTTTCAGGACCTTCGCGGATAACAAAATTCTCAGATGTTGAAATCCCTTCTATTAAATGGAGTAGTATTTTATATAACCTACCCATATACTTTAATTCATCTCTAGGGCAACCTCTTCGGGTCCCCTCCCACTGTGGGAGCTTTTCTGTCCTCTCAATAAATCCTGCCTTAAAAAAAAAAGTTCTCTCTAGATTTCTTATACAATTTAAATGGTATGTACATAGTTATGCTGTATTTTTAAATTTATATTATTTTGTTGTTGCATTGTTTATTTTTGTAAATATTTTTAACCAGAGGTTGGCTGAATCTGAGGATGTGGAACCTGCAGACATGGAGGGTCCATTGTATTTTGTCAGAAATTGTTTGATTTCTCATTAAAGGCTGAAATCCTAGGTTCAAAGTGTTTTCTCAACTAACAATATCACAGAATTCACATAATTGGGAAACCTAGCTATTTTATAAACTGTATCATAATGATATAATTTCATAAGTTCTTTTCTTTTCTTTTCTTTTTTTTTGAGTTGGAGTCTCACTCTGTTGCCTAGACAGGAGGACAGTGGTCGCTCCCGGCCACCGCAGCCTCGACCTGCTGGGCTCCGGCAATCCTTCCGCCTCAGCCTTCCAAGTAGCCGGAATTACAGGTGTGCGCTACCACGCCCGGCTGATTTTTTGATTTACTGTAGAGATGAGGTCTCGCTGCCCAGGCGGGTCTCGAACCCGCGGACTCAGGCAATCTGCTCACCTCAGTCTCCCAAAGGCGCGGGATTACAGGCTGAGCCACTGAGCCCGGCCTCATAAATTATTTTATACTTGCTTCTGATTATCTTCTTCAGGTCCACCTGGCATCTCTGAATGTGATATTTCTCTATAGTCTGGAATGTATCTTATGGTAGCTTTTCTCAGGAAAGGCTCATTCCATGAGATTTAAAATATGTTTAAATATTTGTCTATGTCTTTATATTTGAATGACAGCTTGAGCATAAAATTTGTGGGTCACATTATCGTTCCCTGATTACTTATTTGGCATTCCTTGACTGCTTCTATGGGTTTACTGTTGCTTCAGAGAAGTCTAAATGTAAACTTACTGTTTTTTATTTCTCTTTATCTTTTTGCGTAGCTGTTTAAAATAAAGTCTTTTTTCATCTTTTAAATCCAGTAACTTTACAAGAGAATATATCTTGATGTTGAAGATTTTCTTGGGATGCTCTATGTGTTTTTAAATTGTAAATCAATCTTTATTTCCAGAAAGTTTCCTGAATTATACCTTTGAATACATCTTTTTTTCTTTTCTGGTTGATTATGCATATGTTTGATTACCTTTGTCTAAATTCTGTATTCATAATTTTCTTTCTAATCTTTTAAATCTTGATCTTCGTTTTTCTTTATTTTTGTGTATAGTTCTTAAGTTCGTTATCTCTGTTCTTGTAATTCTTACAGTCTTCATTCTCTTGCCCATTCCAGTGTTCTTTATTTCTGATTGATCTGTTTTTTTATTTCATGTCTTCCCTGAGTTCTTTATGCCCATGTTTTTTCTTTTATCATGCATTTCCATGAGCTTATTAAATCCCTACTTTGAACTTTTGATTTTAAGAGGCAATTGTTTTTATTACTTTTTTCTTTTTTTGAGTTGGAGTCTCACTCTGTTGCCCAGACTGGAGTGCAGTGGCCACTCCCGGCCACCGCAGCCTCGATCTGCTGGGTTCCGCGATCCTTCCACCTCAGCCTTCTGAGTAGCTGGAACTACAGGTGCGCGCTACCATGCCCGGCTGATTTTTTGATTAATTGTAGAGATGAGGTCTCGCTGCCCAGGTGGGTCTTGAACCCGCGGGCTCAGGCAATCCATTCATCTCAGCCTCCCAAAGGTGTGGGATTACAGGCTGAGCCACCGAGCCTGGCGGTACTTTTTTAAAAAGTATGGCAATATAGTAATTTTAAAATCTTTATTATGTGACAGTTTTCTAGAAACTGTTCTCCCATACTACTTGCTTATTACTTGGCTAACTTTTTGTAAGATATTTATATCAGATGTCATAAGTAGATCTATTATCTGTTGCAGAACCTTTCATGAAAGACTATAAGATGTATAACAGCCAGGTTGAGATATTGATGCCTTCAAACCTTAGAAAGCCAACTTAATCACTAGATTTTTGCTGAAGAGTGATTGCAGAGATCAGTGACATGAAACCTTGTGACCAAAAATAAACCCACACATAGGAAAACTAGCCAAATATGTGCTTTCTGCTTAAGTCAACAGAATGTTGGATCCCTGTCTTCTCCCACTAAAAGATATTATACATGAATTAAAAATAAAGTGATAAAATTCTAATGATAAAATATTTTTTATGTCAGTTATGGAGAATGGAAGACTTTTTAAAGTTGTATATCAGACTTGGAATATATGAAGTAAATTTGAAAAATTAGTTCACAGAAAAGAATGCAAGTGGTCAATAAATGTGGAAAATGTTTAATTTCATTGATGATTTAAAAAATGAAATTTAAAAATTATGCATACATTTTTAACAAATGAAATTGGTAGTAAAAATGTAAGTTCTACTTTGTAAAGTGTTGCTTATTTGTTGGTAGGGTTGCATATTTGTATAGCTTTTTGATAGGGCAATTTGACAATATCAAAATATAGATGACTATTCACTTTGACCTAGCCGTTCCAGTCTTTGTGATCTGTCCTACAGATAGGCTAACACAAAACATGCCAAGGTAAACTTAGAAAGTATACATTATAATATTGTAATAGAAGTAACAAAATGATCTAAATATATGTATAATACAATATAATACTTATGTATTTTTAATTAAATAAATGTGCCAAGCCAGGTAATACAATTATACGACATTAGTGCTGTGGAATATTATAACAGTGGTAACAAATAAATTTACATATAGCACTAAGTGCCAATGTCAAAGATGCTGGGACATAATAAGTGAAAACTAGACATTGGTTAATATAAAGATAGTATGTTTTAGTATGATCATACTTGTATAAAAAATATACAACGTGAGAGTGTGAGTAAATGTCTGAAAAATAATGAAAGGAAATGTTAACAGCGGTTACCTCTGTGAGAGCAGGCAAGGGTAAGCGAGAGTTTAATTTTCCTCTTGATAGTCTTCTAGTGATATATGTGTTATTATTATTATCCTTCTTAATGTAGAGACCAGGTCTTGCTATGTTGCCCAGAGTGGTCTTGAGCTCCTGGTCACAAGTGTTCCTCCCATCTTGGTCTCCCAAAGTGCTGGGATTACAGACTTGAGCCACCACACCCATCCTGTATTTTTAAATAGCTAAGCATCATTAAATAAAATGATTGGAAGAAATAATTAAAGGCTATATCATGAAAGTATAATTTGTCTGGTGGAGATTTAAGCTGTTATGAATAGTTAAATTTCTGTAAATTCACAATTTTATTTTATTTTGTTCACTAAAGATACTTGCTTAACAAGGAATAGCACCAGTTGTATCTCTTCGAGTTCCTCACTTCCTAACTACTTGTATGTCTTCATCTTGGGACAACTGCTGCTGGGGACAGGAGGCACTCCTCTTTATACCCTGGGAACAGCCTTTCTTGATGACTCTGTGCCCACACACAAGGCTTCTCTCTATATAGGTAAGTTGACTCTTGAGACTTTCTCAGGATCATTTTGTCTATTATTTGTTTACATTATAGGGAAAGCATAACAAAGGTTTATTAAAAATTTAGTTGTAATACCATAGGTATATCTTTCAGACAAATACAGTTTTACTTTCTTGTGTTCCATTATTTACTGCCATAGCGAGTCAGTAAACAGAAAGTATGATCATTTTTGTTGATGTCCTACTGTTTTCCTGCTCTGGGCTTGCCAACCTTCCGGGATGGGAAGAGCCATCCCAGCAGCATTTTATCTAGATAACTTAAATCCCAGGTAACTTAGACATGCCGTGGAGATTGAGCTCTGCCGTTTTGTGATTTAATACATCCAACATGGACGTGACTAGAGTCCACAAAGGAAATCACAGGATAGTGCCCAAGAACTCTATGGAGGTTTTTGTTTTGAATGAACCCTTTTTATATGTGACTCAATATTTTTTCCTTTGTGATCTAATTCCTGTAGCATAAGTGTCTCTTAAGTTTTCTTCCCTGATGTTCTTGCAAGGTAGAGCTAACTAGGTCATGCATGGCCCTTACATCTAATTATTTCAAAACTCATTTGTTTCTCAGTGTTCTCTTTGTCTGTTTATTCTAACATAGGTGATTCATTGCCAGAGCCATTTAAAGTGACAATGTTCAGTACTGCCCTGACAGACGCTACTAAATTTACTCACACATACCCCTAATATGCAAATGTATATAGCAATTTTATACTTCTACAAAACTTACAAGGTATTCTCACAAAATTATTAGTCTAACCCAACTAGAAATTACGCAAAAAAAAGTTCTTCACCAAGGATAATTTGTGAGGCACCGATTTCCAGTATTTTCAATCATGTATTTTTATTCATAAATTTCTTGAGTATGAATCCTTTGCATGTGCACATTTAATTATTTATGATTTACTTTAATTTTCCTACTAATATGTTTTTCCTTTTTATTTTTTATTTTTGAGCTGGAGTTTCTCTCTGTCACCCAGGCTAGAGTGCAGTGGCAAGCTCATGGCCACCGCAGCCTTGATCTGCTGGGCCCCGGTGATTCTGCCGCCTCAGCCTTACAAGTAGCTGGAACTACAGATGCATGCCACCTTGCCTGGCTGTATGTTTTTCCATTTAAAATATAGCTATAATATAAATTAAGGTAGTTGACAGAAAAATGAAAGTTCTTATGGTCTTCAGATCATCTTGCATGAACTTTAATTAGAGATCTGATCTAGTACTTGAGTTATTTTGTCATTGATATATGCTTAGTTTGGAGTATAAATTAAAATGTTCAGTTCTTCAGTTGTATGAGAATGAGAATCTTAGCAGTGAACAAAACAATCTAGAAGGTGGTAAAGCATTAAGACACTGGGGTATACATAAATTTTATTTGGTAAAACATTATTAAGATGGCTGACTGGAGGCATCCAGCAGTTGTCTTTCTACAAAGAAGGACCAAAATAGAGAGTCAGCAATTACATGTCAAATAGAGCAGGAGTCCCCAACCCCTAGGCCATGGGCCAGGATCTGTGACCTGCTAGGAGTCAGGCCACACAGTAGGAGGTGAGTGGTGGGGGAGCAAGCAAAGCTTCATCTGCATTTTCAGTGTCTCCCCATCACTTGCATTGCCACATAAGCTCTACCTCTGTCAGATCAGTGGTGACATTAGATTCTCCTAGGAATGCAAACCCTATTGTGAACTGCGCATGCAAGGGATCTAGCTTGCACACTCCTTATGAGGATCTAATGCCTGAATACCTGAGGTAGAGTTGAGGTGGTGATGCTTGTACTGGTGAATGACTGAAAAAAAAACCCAAACAGATTAACATTGCCAGTGAGGTTTGACTGCACAATTCCCCCTTCTGTCTGTGGAAAAATTGTCTTCCACAAAACTGGTCCCTGATGCCAAAAAGGTTGGGGACTGCTGGAATAGAGCATTGAAGGGAGAGCATGGGAATTCAGCAACAAAGTGACAAAGACTGTCTGAGATGTCAAAGCTTGAGGTGGTAGCATAGATAGGGAAGCAAAGCAGCTGTATGGATTAGCTTGGAGCCAAGAGAGACTCCTCATTGTGAGGAAAAGATAAGTGGGAATTTTCCTGCAGTCCAAATTCCCACCACAAATTCTTGAAATTCCACTGGATACACCCTCAGCCTTCACAGGCCCTGAGCCTGGTACAGGGAGCTACCTGGAGTTCACATGACTGCATTGTTACAGAGAGAAAAGTCCCAATGGCTACCTCCTACCCTCTGGAATCCAAGCTTCTGCAATAATGTATCATTTGGAGAGTGGAGCCACCACTAAATTGCATCTTGTGCTAAGACCCAAAAGTCCCTGCATCTTCACATCCCTGGAGACTGACCAGCATCCCCATTAACCTACACAGCTGACGCATCATGATAGCAGTTGGACTCAGCAGTGCATTTGTGTCCTTGGCACCCAAGGCAAGGCAGCACCCTATATACCAGGTGGTTCAGCACACCAGGGAGACTGCCTTCTGGACATAGGGGCCCTCACCAGAACTTGAGAGGGCCATCTTTGTTCCCATTCAGTGACAAGGCCATTGAGTGACTGCGTGTATCACTCAGAAGCCTGAAGATCAGCATGCTTGGGGCTTGCTACAAGCACCACTGGTGTCTGTTGAATGATCCAGAATTGAGGACCATTAAGCTTGGGACCCACCATTGCCACCACTGTTGTCTGTGTATGTTGCCTGGAGCCTGAGGACCAACCCCCTCGTGCCTGTCATCACCATTGCTGGTGATTAGCAAGCCTCCACTATTGCCACCTCTAGGCCCAAGAACTGGTCTGCCCAGGATCTACAGTCAAAACAACCACTGGTGCTTGCATGCATTTCCTAGGGTCCAAAGCTGACTTGCCACCTATGACACCTGTGCATGATGTTTGGGAACCCAAGGACCTCCCCATTTAGGACTTTTCACTGCTACCACCTGGCAAATTCACTTCCTTCAGCAGCAGGACTGCTGCACACCTTCACATACTGCCCAGAAACCTGAGGACTAACCCACCCAGAAACCATTACCACCACTGTTGGTCCTCATATATGCCCCCTGGGCTTGAGGACTGGTGTATCAGGCATCCTTATCCTCAGCAAAACTGTGCCACAGCCTCCAAAAACAACTGCAGCCTAAGCCACTGAGGAACTCACAGACACTACTGACCTTGTTTACAGCCAAAGTATTCATCTGGAAATTACACTACTGTGTCCACAAGAACCAAGCCCAAAGCACCTATTCAACTGACACTATAGATACATTTACAGGAAAAAAATCTTATCAAATGAAATGCTACTCAATGAAATTGGAAGAGTGACTATTATTCCAGCTGAACATATATCAGTGTAGACACACACATACACACACACACACACACACACACACACACACACACACTGAAACAAGGAAACATGATATTTTGAATGAAATGCAATAATTAACTTGTTACAGGTCTGAAAAAAAAATCTATGAAATGCCTGAAAAGTAATTAAAACTAATGATCGTAAAGAAACTAAGCAAGATACAAAATAACTCAGATAGAAAATACAAAGAAATCAGGAAAATAATTCATGATCTAAATGAGAAATTCAACAGAGATATTATGAATGAGAACCAAATAGAAATCTTAGAACTGATTAACACAATTAATAGGTAAAAAAAATACAATTGAGAGCTTTAACAATAGACTAGATCAAACAGAAGAAAGAATAAACAGTTATATTTAGAAAATTCAATGATTCCCCAAATAGATTTAACCCAGAAAGGTACTTTTCTAGGCACATTATAGTTAAATGATCAAAAGACAAAGACAAAGGGAATTCTAGAAACAGCAAGAGAAAAATGTCAAGTTAAACGTGAGGGAATTCCCATCAGACTAACAACAGATTTATCAGCAGAAACCTTTCAAGTTGTGAGCGAATAGTATAGTATATTCAAAGTACTAAAAGAAAAAAGTTAGTAAAGAATACTATACCCAGCAAAGCTAACCTTTAGAAAGAAGGAGAAATAAAGTCTTCCCAGATTAGCAAAAACTGAGGGAATGCATCACCATTAGACCAATCTTACAAGCAAACAAACAAACAAACAAATAAAAACCTTAGGAGAGTCCTATGTCTGAAAGCAAAAGGACAATATCTACCATCATGAACAGTGAACACACATGAAAATATAAAATATAGCAGTAGAACAGATACTGAAATAAGAAAAAGAAAGGAATCAAACATCACTACAGAAAACCATCAAACCACAGAGACATACAATAAGAGAGGAAGAAAGAAAAAAAGGTATATAAAACAATCAGAAAACAATTTAAAAAATGACAGAGGTAAGCTCTCACTTATTAATGAGATCAACCTTGAACATAAATGTTTTAAATTTCCCAGTTAAAATATACAAATTGGCTGAATGGATTTTAAAAAACAATCTAACTGTCCTATCAACAGAAAACTCACTTCATCTGTAAAGACACACATAAACTAAAAGTGAAGGGATGAAAAAAGATACTCATGTAAATGGAAACCCAAAGCCTTTAGAAGTGGCTATATTTAAATCAGACAAAATAAACTTCAAGTAAAAAAAAAAACAAAACAAAAAAGAGATAAGATCATTATACAGTGACAAAGAGACACATTCACCAAGATGATATAACAGCTATATCCACCCAACACCAGAGCATTCAAATATATATAGCAAATATGATTAGAGTTAAAGAGAGAGAATAGACTTCAATACAATCATAGTTGAGGGCTTCAACATTTCCACTTTCAGCACTGGAAAGATCATCTAGACAGAAAATCAACAAAGAATATCAGACATAAAATGCACTGTAGACCAAATAGACCAAGCAGATAATCACAGAACATTCAACAGCTGCAGAATACATGTTCTTCTCTTCAGCACATGGAACATTCTCTAGGAGAGATCATATGTTAAGCCACAAAACAAGTGTCAACAAATTTTTAAGGATAAAAAATGTATTAAGTATCTTCTTGGATTATAATAGAATGAAACTAGAAATCATTAACAAGAAACTTTTGATAACTGTAAAGATACATGGACATTTAACAGCATGTTCCTGAGTGACCAGTTTGGTCAGTGAATATATGAAGAAAGAAGAAAGAAATTTAGGGCAACCCCCTTGGGTCACCTCTTGCTCTGGAAGCTTTTCTGTCCTCTCAATAAATTCTGCTTTCTAAAAAAAAAAAAAAAAAAAAAAGAAAAATTTAAAAATTATTCAAATGAATGAAAATAAAAATACATTACCAAAACCTATGGAATACAGTAAAAACAGTGCCATCTGGGAAGTTTATAGCAATATATGCCTACATCATAAGAATAGAGAGATTTCAAATAAACAACCAGGTGATGCAGTTCAAAGATAATAGAAAAGCAAGAAAAAAACAAACTCAGAATGGATTAAAGGAAGAAAATAATAAAGATCAGAGAAGAATTAAACTAAATCGGGTACATAAGATGCAGAAAAAGTATTTGATAAAATTCAACATCCATTCATGATAAAATTTTCCAACAGTGTGGTATAAGAACATACCTCAACACAATAAAGGTCATGTATGACAAACTCACAACTAAAACCATACTGAATGGGAAAAATCTGAAAACTGTTTCTCTAAGAACTGGAACAAGACAAGGATGTTCACTTTTACTGCTCTTATTCAACATGGTACTAGACATCCCATGTAGATCAATTAGGCAAGAGAAAGAAATAAAGGGAATTCAAATGGAAAAGGGAAAGCCAAATTATCTCTCTTCACAGATGACATGATCTTATATGGAGAAACTAAAAACTTCACAAAAAAACTCTTAGAAATAATAAACAAATTCAGTAAAGCTGCAGGACACAAAATTGACATACAAAAATCTATAAAGTTTCCATACTCCAATAATGAACTAGCTGAAAAAGAAATTTTATCTATAATGGCTACAAAATTAATAACCTAAGAATGAATTTAACCAAGGGGATGATAGGTTTTTACAACGAAGCTACAGAAACACTGATGAAAGAAATTGAAGAGAACACAAAAAATGGAAAGCCATCTCATGCTCATAAATTTGAAGAATGAATATTGTTAAAATAACCATAATGTTCAAAAGTCTATGGACTTAATAAAATTCTTTTCAAAATAGCAATGCTATTGTTCACAGAGATAGAAAAAACAATCCTAAAATTCATATGGAATCAGAAAACACACCAAATATCTAAAGCAATACTGGCAAAAAGAACACAGCTGGAGGCATTATACTACCTGTTCAATATTGCTACAAAGCAGTAATAACTGAACTCCATAGTATTGGTATCAAAACAGACATGTAGACCAGTGGAGCAGAATAGAGAACCCAGAAATAAATCCACGTATTTACAGCCAATTGATTTCTGAAGAAAGGTACTGAAAACACACATTGAGAAAGGAAATGCTCTTAAATCAGTGATGCTAGGAAAACTGGATATCCACATGCAGAATAATGAAAATAGATCCTGTCTCTTATCATGTATAAAACTTGACTCACAGTCAGTTAAAGATTTAAATGTAAGGCCCCAAACTTTAAAACTAGTAAAATAAAGCATAGGAGAAATGCTTCATGATGTAGGTCTAGGCAAAGATCTTATAGGTGAGCCTACAAAAGCACAGCCAACGAAAACAAAAATAAAAAAAAGGACTATATCAAGCTAAAACATTTCTGCGTGGCATAAGAAACTCAACAGAATGGAGACAAAATGTACAGAATGGGAGAACATATTTTCAAACTATTCACCTAAACAAGGGATGAATACGCACACTCTATAATGGACTGAATCAACAGCAAAAAACCAAATAGTTCAAGGAAAAAAAAAGTGGGCAAAGGACCTGTGTAGACATTTCTCAAAAGAAGACACACAAATGGCCAACAAGTGTATGAAAAAATACTCACCATCACTAATCATTAGGAAAATGCAAATCCAAACTCCAATGAGATATTATCTCATCGTGATTAGAATGGCTATTATAAAAAAGACAAAAAAATACTGGCGAGGATGCAGAGAAAAGACAACTTTTATACACTATGGGAATGTAAATTAGTACAGCCATTATGGAATATGGTATGGAGGTTCCTCAAAAATTGCCTGAGCCCGCGAGTTCGAGACACACCTGGGCAACTTGGCGAGACCTCATCTCTACAATAAATAAAAAATCAGCCGGACGTGGTAGCGCGCGCCTGTAATTCCAGCTACTTGGAAGGCTGAGGCGGAAGGATCGCCGGAGCCCGGCAGTTTGAGGCTGCGGTGGCTGGAAGCGGCCACTGCATTCCATTCTGGGCAACAGAGTGAGACTCCAACTCAAAAAAAAAAAATTAAAAAGTATAAACACCACATAATTCAGACATCCCATTATTGAGCATTTATCCAAAGGAAAGGAAATCAGTATATGGAAGAGATAGTTGCACCCCCATACTTATTGTAGCACTTTTTACAGTTGCCAAGGTATGGAACCAACCTAAATGTTCATCAACAGATGAGTGGATAAAGAAAATGTATATATGCACAATGGACTACTATTCAACCATAAAAACAGAATAAAATTGTGTCATTCATGGTAACATGGGTTAGCCTGGAGACACTATATGAAGTGAAATAAGCCAGGCACAGAAAGCTAAATATCACATGTTCTTACTCATAAGCAGGAACTAAAAAAAAAAAAAAATCAATTCATAGAAGTAGGGAGTAGAATTATAATTATTAAAGGCTGGGAAAGGGAGGAAGAGAGGGTAGGTAGAAGTTTGTTAGTGGATGCAAAATTACAGTAAGGAGGAGTAAATTCTAGTGTTCTGTAGCACTGTAGGGTTGATATATAGTTAGTGATTGTTTATTATATATGTCCCAAAAGCTAGAAAAGAGGATTCTAAGAGTTTCCAACACAATTTATAAGTGTTTGTGGTGATGGGTATCCTACTTACTCTGCTCTGATTATTACACATTGTATGGTTGCAGTGATATATCTACTCCATAACTGTATAAAATGATTATATGCCAGCTAAAAATTAAGAAAAAAAGTGGAAATGTATTCAGCTGGCATTGAAACTTGAAGTTCAAAGGGAAAACCACAACGAAAATACACGATTGATCAAATAAATTATTTTTGTAAAAGCCACCAGTTATATATGACAAAATTTTAAATATCTGACAAAAATAAGCTCAATTTAATTCTGCTCCAAGTAAAAATAAGGAGAATCAGCCAGGTGCAGTGGCTCATGCCTATAATCCCTGTACTTTGGGAGGCGGCGATGAAAGGATTGCCCGAGTCCAGGGGTTTGAGACCACCCTGAGCAACTCAGTGAGACTTTGTCTCTACAGTAAATCAAAAAATTGGTCGGGCATGGTGCTGCACGCCAGTAGTTCTAGCTACTTGGAAGGCTGAGGTGGAAGAATCACCTGAGCCCAGCAGGTCAAGGCTGCGGTGGCTGTGAGCGTGTCACTACACTCCAGCCTGGGCAACAGAGTGACATTCCTACTCAAAAAAATAAAAATAAAATAAAATAAAAATAAATAAGTAAATAGGGAGAGTCGATAAGAATAAGAGGCTTACTTTTAAGAAACAGACTTCTTAGTAGATCCAGGTTTTAAAGCTGTTGTAGTCAAGATAAAGAACGCTTTCCAAACTGTGCAGTGGAAAAATCTCCTTGTTTCACTTTGTTTTCTCCTATGATATTGTAAACAAGAATAATTATCGCTATCAGTAAATCCTAATAGTAGATGTCCTACCCCTGCCACCAGTTAGCATAACTTTCCATAGATTTCTGATTTTTATTTTTATTGTAACTATTATTGAGTTATTTATTTTAGGCTTTTGGGCTTGACCATTAGCCAAATAATGGCATTCAAGTGGTATCTTTTAGTGGAAGTGTGTGCAATTTTGATGTAAGTATAATCATTTGAATTTTTCTGCAATAAAACATTTGTCTTTCTTCACTTTTTGTTAGACATGCAAAACAAAGTTATACATATAACTGTATGCAATGTTTTTGTTCTTATTCTAGGAATTGGCTATTCTATGTCAATCTTAGGCCCTGCTATTGGCTATGTGCTAGGAGGACAACTGCTAACCTTGTACATTGATGTTGCTTTTGGACAAAGGCAAGGCATTATCCGTTTTTCTTTTATTTCAATTTATTTTATTTTAGTAATACTGACATCATACATGAAGCATTTTTACAGTACTTCCTTGGTATAACGTGGTATTTTTCAGGAAACAAAACTGAATAGTCATAATTCTTTTATAATATTTTATTTTGGCTAAATCTCATTATTGCACACCATCTCTTAGTGTAATAATGTATTTATTCAAAAATAAGGATATTTGATAGAGTCACCTAGTGAAATTTTTAAAAATACATATGTAAGATTCCACGCATTGTTTGAAAGAACTCATTAAAAATTCTTCATGTTTTCCATAGCTTTAGTTGGGGGCTGATAGCCTGAAGAGTCTCAAGGGTCTGTGATTCTATGAGTAAGTTCTATAGTAGCTCTGATAATGTCCTAAAGATCACAATTATGTCATTTAAACATGTGACAATAAAGGATATTAGTAGGTAATATTTGTTTGTCCTATATGATGTTCTGGACAATATATGCTTTGTGTGTTTACATATTTCACATGCTATTTTATTTAATCTTATCAACAATCCTATCAAGAAATTGGTACACACAGGCTGACAAGTGGCCAAGACATGAATTGAAGTAGAACTTTTTGATTCCACAATATTTTCCTTTTCCTGAATAGAGGAATTGGTCCTTTTTGGTGAGGCCATATTTTCTCTTTTTGCCATTGGGAATAATAACTGTACATTTTTTTGCATGACTGTAAGCGGTAAATAAGAAAATGTAGTCATGGGTATGTGATTTGTTCTCTAAACTGTTAATCTTATGTTAATCTTTTAAAGACTATAAAAAGTGTGCAGAAAAAGTTCTTGAAGCAAAAAGTCAGAGTTTTAAGAAAGGATATTCTAATTTTGGTGGAAAATTATATGAGTTATACAAATGATGTGTTTTGGAAAGAGTCTATTCATTTTACACTATGAGAATCATAAAAAATTATTAATAAATCACTTTAGGAATAATTTACATTTAAAGAAATGCCATAATTGAAGCACAATATTAGGGCTTTTAACATAGATCATTAACTTTCTGTGAGATATTTAATTTCATATGGTGGAGGAGAAAGCTTAGTCAAAGTTAAAGAATGTCCAGAAATTCTATGTTCTTTTCAAATATTTACCATACTTATTTACCATTAAATATTGTTAACTTTTATGTCATTTCCTATATTAAAATACTTTGTAAGGCATTATTTTTATAGTTCATTTATACCTGCTCCCTGTTTTCTGATTCGGTACACTGGCAGTATTAAAATTTTGGCTATTATTATACTATTCTACGATATATATTTGATGTATAAAGTATATGATTATCATAGTGAGTTTTAATTAATAAGGAAGAGTTTACTTTTACCTCTCGTTTTTCTAATGTACAGCACTGACATCACTGAGGATGATCCACGATGGCTGGGGGCTTGGTGGATTGGATTTCTTCTATCATGGATCTTTGCTTGGTCTTTGATAATACCTTTTTCTTGTTTTCCAAAACATTTACCAGGTAATTACACTTTCTTTAAAGTGAAGGAGTTTTATTCTAATTCTAGGCCAGGTGTTATTTTATATATGATTAACAACATCCATAGATTCACTCTGTTTTGTAGAATCTCAACTTTCTGCCTAAGCACATTTTTGCATATATAAACATTAGGTTTTCTTAATTTTCAATTAGTAACCAATAAAACTGTGTGCATATTCGCCTTCTTATTACTTACTAAATTGGTTTCTTATGTTTTATCTGATTCCTGCTTTATGCATATACAGAATACCATATGATATCTTCTAAACTATTAGCTTGTGTTCGGGTAGTCACTAATTTCAATTTGCCTTAAGTCACTTGTGTTATCTGTAATTTAAAATACAAGTATTCACTTTTTTTTCCAAAAGCCATACTGTAGTATACTTTTTCTAAACTTTTTTTAATAGTAAACATTCTGTCCAAAAAGAAAAGATTAATAAAGTATTAATTTTTTCCTGAGATCTTTTTTCTGTATAGTTGTATAGTTAAAATACACATCTGTAGCCTAAAGGTACTTAGTTGTCATAGGATGGTTAGTAATCTGTCCTCTTACTTGCAACAGGATAGATGATTAACTTTTGGAAATGGGCACAAGAAAAGCTGGTAGACTAGAAGTAGGTGGACTCATTGATTTCTTTCTACCTTGGGCAATTTAATTTGTAATTCCATATGTCGACTGTTTCCTCAAATTTATTCATAGTACCTTTATTAAAAATAAAAGGCACATGGTAATAGTTGGTAAACAGCTTGTTGGTAAACATCTAACAAGCTGCCAAGCATGTTAGAATTAAGAGAACAAATGAAAAAAAATCCACGAACACACTTTAATGTAAAGAATAAAAAAAGAGAGCCATTATAAAGGAAGAAAAAACTTTAAGATAAGATTTTAAATGAAAAACATAGATATGTGATTGGAACAAAATTGTCTCATTTTAATGTTTAGGCTAGTTGGAACTTCCTTAGCTAGTGGTAATGAACACTAGCTCTTAAAACAGTCTGATTACACACATAGATATTTGTACAATTTTCTTGACAAAGAGAAGGACTGGCCTCTTATGTTATGGAATTTATATAGTTGTGGAAGAATGTGTCAGTAAAAAAGTAAGCATTTTTAAAAAAGAAGAATGAAATGATAGAGCAAGTGCATTTATTCTTTTATTAGGTACAGCAAAAATTCAAGCTGGAAAAACCTCTCAGACTCATAAGGATAAGAGTAGTTCCTTGCAGCATGAAGATGAGAAATTTGGGAAAAGTATTAAAGATTTTCCAGCTGCTCTAAAGGTAAAATAAAACAGTTCTCATTCTTTCTTTTTCTCTCTCTCACACACACAGATGCACACACCCAACTCACATGTAGATATATGTATACTTTGCACACACATGAATAACCACACATGTATACATATATACACATAAATACACATATGTACACATACAAATGTTTTCATAATACATTCTTGTTCGCTTATTTGCAATAATTATAGGTCTTGTAAACAACTCTTTGGATTTAGTTTTATTGTCCTTTGAGTCGATGAAGTCTGTTCACAACAAAAAAGTCAAATATGGAGTAGTCTTATCATGTGGAGATTTACAGTAAGACTGGGGATAGGAACATTTCCAAGCAGGCTTTTACCTTCTTCCTCTGGTCCCTTGTATGTGATAAAAGTATAATCACTGTACTGATGAATCATCTGTCAAATCTCTAGGTCTCCACATAAAAGTTCTTTTGTCATTGCATATGTAAATCTATCAATTATCCATAGTTATATTTTTTGTGCTGGAGGAAGTGCCTAAATTTTAGAGATGATTATATTCTGTTTATTAAAAAGTTCAACATTCATCATGCTGGAATTCTAATGCTGTACTCTGCAGCATAGTCATAGTTATTCATTTGGTGAACTATATTTTTTCTTTAGAATTTGATGAAGAATACTGTCTTTATGTGTTTAGTTCTATCAACTTCTTCCGAAGCCTTAGTTACTACTGGGTTTGCTACATTTTTACCTAAATATATAGAAAATCAGTTTGGATTGACATCCAGCTTTGCAGCTACTCTTGGAGGTAAAAAATTTTTCTTTGTCTAACAGTATTTTTACAATATTAAGTTTGTATTAGGATGTAATTTGAGCTATCTGACTCTTTGAAATTAAAACTTAAGATTAATTTTGATAAAAGTTTCTGATTTTCTGACATTAGGCAGTCTATTGTATGAACTTCAGAGAGACAAAAGCTATAAGATTAAAGAGAAGGCATATTAAACTTAATGTTCAGTGCATTCATTTTATTAATTTCTTAATGGAAGTAGTAGTCCATTTGTGCATATATTTTTATGTTAGGTGTATATGTTCATATGTTAATACCATATTAGTGCTTGTTTTTGATGTTTTCCAATTGTCAGTATGAGTTATGGAGTATACTTGTGTGTTTTTTCACTGTCTGTGCCTTTTTTCTATTTAGGGGCTATTTTAATTCCTGGAGCGGCACTTGGTCAGATTTTAGGTGGTGTCCTTGTTTCAAAATTCAAAATGACATGTAAAAATACAATGAAGTTTGCACTATTCACTTCTGGAACTGCGTTTGTGCTGAGTTTTGTATTTATTTATGCCAATTGTGAAAATGAGTCATTTGCTGGTGTGTCTGAATCATATCATGGGTAAATATACTTCAATGCTTTCTGATATTAGTATCGGAATCATTAACTATGTATACATTTCCAAGTATATGCTTTCTTAAAGTGAGAAGGAATTAGTTTTTTAACTGAAAGTCTTTTTTAGAATGTAAAAACATGCACTTTGTATTTAACTTAAATGATTTATATCTTCTTAAATGATTGGTTTTATTTATAACATTCTGTTTTCAGTAGTGGTATTTCAACGTTCCCCTTTGTTGTTAAAACACAAAGTCTTCTTAAAAGTGGGGGTATGTATTCAGAGAGCATTTAAAAAGCAACTGTCATATACTGGGCATTATGCTTAACTCAGAAATACAAAAATTAATATAATAAAATCTGTGCCTTTAAGGAATTCACATCCTAGGGATAACTTCACATTATATGTTCCTACTCATTTAAAATTTCAAAAATTATAGAGGATATTATTATCCTCTATAATATAATTCTCATAGTAAGTAGGTTGAAAACAGACTAGAAGATAAAATGAAGCTACTTCTAGCTGATACTAATCATAATTGTACGATCATTTTACCCCCTTAATTTTATCTTCTGTACCCTGCATGTGAAAATGTTTATATCATGAAGAGCTTAGTCAAAACAGTCTCATCTAAGAAACATGTGCATAAGTAAGCGTACAGGCATATGTTGGGGAAATTGTGGATCTGGTTCCAGACCACCATAATGGAGCAAATATTGCAATAAAGCAAGTCACACAGGGTTTTTTGGTTTCCCAGTGCCTCACCTCATGACTGCGGTATTGCCCCTTCCTTCAAATTCATACTCTTGTACAATTCCCAGAAGTATTACTTTAAAATTAACTTTTGACAATGTCACTTTCTAGTCTAAAAATAGTTTACATTACCTTTTGTCAGTAAGTTAAAACTCATTGTTTTCAACAAGGTGCACGAGGCCCTCTTTAATCTGGTCTCTGACTCTTCTCCATCTGCATTCTGATACATCATACATCATTCCAATTTTTCCATAGAAAATGCTGGTTCAACTCTATGCTTATGTACCACCCTTTTCTGAAGTGCCTGTCCCCTTTCCCGCTTGCCCGGCTAACTCTTCATCCATTTCCCATTCTCCCCGAGAATACTCGCTGGCAGCTGTGTGCCTGCAACTTGACCCCAAGATAATTCACAGACTACCACCAAAGTTTGCCACAAAATTTCTCACTTCATTATTATTTTCGCATTGCTCTAGTATATTGATAGTCTTTGGAAATAAATGACATCAATTTATTTATAGCATTCTGTTTTCTGTAGTGGTATTTCCATGTTCCCCTTTGTGTTGTTCCGTGCTTTGAAATCTAACACACACACACACACACACACACACACACACACACACACACACACACACACACAGAATTAAATACTGATCATCATAAACATTTCTGTTACTTAAGATTAGAAGCAAGTTCTGTTTAGAAATAGCTCCGAGAACAGTTTTTATATTTTATTTTCACATTGAAAACAAGTCAGATTTGTTTCAGCCTCAAAGAATGTATGTGTAAAATTTAATCTGCAGCAAGCTGCACTTTTTTTTCTAAATAGGAAAGAGGTTAAGGTTCATCGTAGGCATTACCTCCTGCAGACCCTCTTCTCTAACCTTTAGCCTGTGTTAGGTGTCCTTCCCTGGTGCTTCTAAAATATACTTTGCAGATACCTGTAACTGCACTTAGCGTATCAGTGTCCAATTATCTGCGTCCATTTCTATTGTGAAATCTTTGAGGACAAAGATTATCTTGTTCAGCTTCCATTTCTGTTCTTAGCATAGGGCTTACCACTTGTTCAATATATATTGTCTGAACAAATGAAACAATAAATGAGGGATTAGGGAAGCATATTTGGTTAGCATAACCCTTTATACTAGGAAAGATGTTTTTCCTGTTAAGAGGCAGCATGAAACAACACTGTGCCTGAGAACCAGGAAAATTATTTTTGGCAAGGAAAGATAAGTAAGTTCATCTCTCTGGGCCTTAGTATTCCCATTGACAAGATGATTCAACAACATGATTTAGTTCATTCTTCCAAGTTATTTGGTAATGTCTGGAGACACTTTTGTTGCTATAATTAAGGAAAGTGCTACTGGCTTCTTGCGGGTGGAGGTCAGAGATGTTAGCATTCTACAGTCTACAGAACCAGCCCCTCACAAGAGAATTGTCTGACATAAGATATGAGAAACTCTGCTTTCTTCACTTATTCTGCCTTATTTTTTAAATCACTGACAGACATTATATTACGTATCTATTGTTTTTACTGCCTCTCCCCCACAAGAAGTTAAGCTTTATGTGCAAAGACAGAGATTTTATTTGTTATATTCATTCACTAATTATGTATTGAGTGAGTGAATGAATGACTGAATGTCAAGATATCACAACGCTTCTGGACTGTTCATGAAAAGTTATGACAGATAATTTGCCCTTCTTTCATTTCTTATTTACAGAACTGGAGAACTGGGAAACTTGACAGCCTCCTGTAATGCAGATTGTAACTGTTTGAGATCATATTATTATCCTGTCTGTGGAGGAGATGGAGTTCAATATTTTTCTCCCTGCTTTGCAGGTTGTTCAAACTCAGTTTCAAAAAGCAAACCAAAGGTAACTCATGTCTCCTTCTGTGCCTTTAATGCGGCAATGTGTTTGTCTATTTATGGATGTCTGTCTTGATCCCTCTAGTAGGGTTATACAGTGCCTATTCATTTCTTCTAGCCCCACCTCCCCCATTAAATAGTCCCTGAACTCTCTAGCTGAAAAAGACTCCTCCATATCTCATACAGTTACATTGAGAAATCAATTTGGGAGTCACTCACATAGAACTTAGTGACATTACTTCTGTTACAGTAGTGCAGTATCTTTTACCCTGCACATTGTGTTACAGTCATCCCTTGGTATATACAAGGGATTGGTTCCAGGACTCCTGCATACACTCATCCACCATACTTAAGTCCCACAGTTGACCCTGTGAAACGCACAACACTAAAGGTCGGTCCCTTGGTATATGCTGGTTTCACATACTGCAAATTCTGTATTTTCTTCTTCTTTTTTTAATGAATTAAGAAAGGTAGATTTATTAAAGGAAAGATGCATTGTAAAGGGTTCAATGGCAGGACAACAGCAAGAAGATCTGATTTGTACTGCCTTTCTTTTTAGTAGGAGTCTCACTGTGCCTCCCACGATCACTGCTACCTCAGCCTTCAAGTAGCTGGGACTACAGGAATGCACCACAAAGCTTGGCTATTTTTTTATTTATCATGGAGACAAGGTCTCACCATGTTGCCCAGGCTAGTTTCGAACTCCTGGGCTCAGGCAATCCTCTTGCCTCTGCCTCCCAAAGTGCTGGAATTACAGGCATAAACTGCTATGCCTGCAAAGACTGTGTTTTAGATTAATGCTTGATTGAAAAAACTTTGTTTATAAGTGGACCAGCACAGTTTAAACCTATGTTGTTCAAGTCTCAATTGTATTTTTCATTAATTATACTTCAAGATCCTTGAAGGCAGGCAACTTTGTCTGTTTTTACTAATTGCAGTGTATATAATACAAACTTTATTTTATTTATGCACTATGAATACATTTAAAAATATCCAAATCAGTTCATTCTCAAATATAAATTCACTTTTAATTTTGGATCAGAATGCATATCAGTTTGACCAGATGTTATTTAATATAATGTACTAGTTTTAGGAGATGCAATAGAATTCTATTGTACTATATACAATCTAAAGATTTCAATTCAGCTAAACTTAAGAGTCTTAGGAGTAAATAATATTTAGATTATGAGTAGTGCACAATGTATTATGCATTAGTAGATGGGTGTGATAACTTTAAGAAGACCTGAGGGAAATATATACTATGGTATTAAAAAAAACACAATGTGTAAAATATGTAAGAATTCTGTAAACGATCTTGAACATTTGAAATATGGGATCATGAAATGACATTTATATTTCTGTGCAAAGATAACTTGAAGATTTCAATAAAAGATGGCCACATAAATAAAAAATTACTTCAAATTTCTTCTGAAATGTTATATTTGTCTTGGTTTTTTATGACCAACAAGCCATCTAACAATTCATTGATTCATAAGACTTTTTTATTTTCTTATGGAATAGTTCAGATAGGCAAAATATGATAATGAAAGAATCATATATGTACATTTGTTCACAGTGATACATTTAGTCATATTTCACATCAATGACCCAACCTAAGAAAAAAAACTAGACTTTGACAAATTGCTATATTGCAGGGAAATGTATACTCCTTTATTTTATTTATTTATTATTATTTTTGAGACAGGGTCTTATTCTGTCACCCAGGCTGCAGAGCAGTGGTGTGAAAGCAGCTTACCATTGGAAACCTCTTAGACTATGGCGATCCTCCCACCTCAACCCCAAGAGTAGCTGGGACTATAGGTGTGGGCCACCACACCTGGCTATTTTCTTTTTTTTTGTAGAGACACGTCTTGCTATGTTGCCTAGGCTGGTCTTGAACTTCTGGGCTCAAGCAATGATCCTGTCTCAGTCTCCCAAAGTGCTGGAATTACATGTGTGAGCCACCGTGCCCAGCCTATAGACTCCTTTATATGAGAGAGTTGTAAGGGTTCACCAGGAAAGAAAATACTATTCCTACTTTTTCTTCCTAAGATTTTGTTTTGTTTTGAGTCAGGTCTACTTTTATCGCCCAGGCTGGAGTTCAGTGACATGATCAAGGCTCATTGCATCCTCAAATTCCTGGGCACAAGCTATCCTTCCACTTCAGCCTTTTGAGTAGCTAGGACTACAGGTGTACACCACCATACCTAGCTAATTAAAAAAAAAAATTTGTGTGGAGACCAAGTCTCACTATGTTGCCTAGTCTTGCTCAAACTCCTGGGCTCAAGCTATCTTCCTATTTCAGCCTACCAAAGTGCTGGGATTACAGGCATGAACCACCACTCCTGGCTTCCTTCCTAAAAATTTTAAAGACTCAGTTACTTTATAAATCTGATTGCCGAGTATGTATTAGTCAACTTTGGATGTGTCACCTGCATATTTGTTTTTCTCGAATCAGTACCAGAAGTCTTAGAACTGCTGTAGCTCACAAAAAATACTTTCTGACCTTAAGAACAATGAAAGCACTACATCTCTGACTTATTTGACTCCTCTCTGATTTTGTTGATGCTTTAAATATCTAAAATGATTTATGGCAAGAATGGACTTGAATTGTAAAATGACTTTAAGAAATTATATGTCTAGTGAACTTTTTAAATATCAAAGTTCTTTTTCTACAAAGGTAATACTTGTTTTTATTTGTCTTTTCATTTCCCAATATTCATAATATTGACATATATGCATACCTATGCATATGTATATATGAAAAATAGTTAATATGTTATTTATATATAAAATAGCTCTTATGATGATGAGGTAGTAACTTCAACTTTTTTATGGCAATAAATAGCATTTTAAGAATATATGGTTTGAGCCAGGCTCAGTGGCTCAGCCTGTAATCCCGCGCCTTTGGGAGGCTGAGGTGAGTGGATTGCCTGAGCATGCGGGTTCGAGACCCGCCTAGGCAGCGAGACCTCATCTCTACAATAAATCAAAAAATCAGCCGGGCGTGGTAGCGCATGCCTGTAATTCCGGCTACTCGGAAGGCTGAGGTGGAAGGATTGCCAGAGCCCAGCAGGCGAGGCTGCGGTGGCCAGGAGCGGCAGCTGCACTCCAGTCTGGGCGACCGAGTGAGACTCCAACTCAAAAAAAGAATATATGGTTTGCTTTTGGTTGCAATTCAAAAAAGCTCAGAAAGTTAGAGTTAAGAGGTTGCAGTTAAAAGCAGCATTTTTCCCCCCAACATCTTAGAACATATTGGTAAATTTTACTGTGGCACTTGTCAAAATTATAGTGTTTGTTTTTTCAAATGTGTGAAAATAATGAGATTGTCACCATAGATGCCCCTTTGCCTCCCATAGTGTAAAAGAGAAGAATGTTAGTAGGAAAGCATTGTATGAACAATATGGTCTATTGAAAGTAGTCTAGAATTTGGGAGATCATGTAGCTGTTATATTCCTATCAAATTGTTTTATGAGTCCTGAGCCGATAATAGGTTACATTCAAAGTAATGGTCACAAAAGTCAAGTGCAGATAGTTCTCCTTTGTAAATGTGATTTGTTTGCCCTTGTTTAATTTCTTAAGTGTTAAATACTCTTTCTTAACATAATTTGCTGTATCTGGATTAAGACAGTATGAGTGTGTTTGTTGTGTCTAAAGATCACCTAATTTGCAATAATTTATTTTAAAAATAGCATTCATTATTTTTATGTCTAATAATTATAGAAATATTACAACTGTTCCTGTGTTGAAAGGAAAACAGAAATAACATCAACTGCAGAAAATTTTAGTTTTGAAGCTAAAGCTGGAAAATGTGAAACTCGATGTGCAAACTTGCCCATATTTCTTAGCATTTTCTTTGCTACAGTTATTTTTACCTTTATGGCTGGTACTCCTATAACTGTGTCCATCCTAAGGTATGTATAATGTTGTGAAATTTGCATTCCCTAAGGCAGTATGTCAAGTGGAGAGAAAATGGATTCAGAAGTCTGTGTCATTGGATAAGCTACCTCATAGAACCCCAGGTGTTTGAGATTTAAATGGTAGCATGCGTGTGAAAGTGTCTTAACATCCTGGCTAGTACTTGTGTTATTTTCTTTGCTTCTTTCATGAAGCTTCAGTTTTGAGCTGGAGATATGTTCATTTTGAGTGTAATAGATGTTAATTACACTCCACCTATGCCAGAATCAGAATGACATGCATTCTACCTTATATATTCGCTACTGTAATATTAAATCTTCCTGTGAACAGTGCTAATTGATAAACTGGCTGCTGCCTGGCTGATCAGCTTTATTTTGTGCTTTCAGTTGCTCTTCCTTCTTCTATATTACTTTACAAAAATATTTCCTACCTGTCCTTTGATAGACTCATCAGTCTGTCTCTTTCTTAACCAACTCTAGCTTTTTCTCTTTTCAATCTTTTGTCCCTTAATATTCACTGTCTACCTTTTCACATTTTTTTGATGACTGGAAAGTTTAATAATTCTCTCTAAAAAAAACATTAAATGGTAAACATCATACTACTTGGAAATTGAAGGTATTTAGAAAAGAGATTTTGTTTTTGTTTTTCTGAGACAGGGCCTCTCTGTCACTCAGGTTGAAGTTCAGTGGCACTATTATAGCTCACTGCGTCCTCAAACTGGGCTAAAGCGATCTTCCTGGCTCAAAGTAGGTAGGACTGCAGACATGTACTACCACACCTGACTAATTTTACTTTTTGTAAAGACAGGATCTTGCTCCCTTGCTTAGGCTGGTCTTGTACTCCGGGCCTTAAGCAATTCTCTTGTCTCAGCTTCCCAAAGTCCTGGAATTATAGGCATGAGCCACCACATCCAACCAGAAAATGCTTTTTAAGAATTCATTTTTAAAAATATTATATAAATTGCTTTCAGTTACTTTGTTTTTTAAGAATAGCTAATCTCTTTTACCTCTCATGATTCTTCTGTGTGCAACATCATGTTTCATTTATCTTTGACAGTCATTACTTAAAGAATTATTGTTTTATCAGTTTGAGTTTCAGCAACTGTTTTATGTTACTTCAAATTTGTACCCTTATCTCATAGGTATGATTGTGATGTTGAAGTTTATAAAAGTGTAAAAATTATGTCCTTGCAACTTAAGTGAATAGCAGTAGTAAAAAATAAGTATTTTTTCATATAAATGCTAGGGTTTTTTAAAAAATATTTTTCCAGATTTATTGAGATATAATTGACAAAACAAGATTGTGAGTATGTGTGTTTGTGTGTGTGTGTGTGTATAAAGTTAAGGTGTACAATGTAATGTTTTGATGCTATACACACACACACACACACACACACACACACACATTGTGAAGTGATTATTGCAATCAAGCTACTATACATATCCATTACCTCACATAGTTATCCTTTGAGTATATGTTCTGAGAACATTTATGATCTATTCTCTTAGCAAATTTCAAGTATGCAATATAGTATTATTAACTATAGCTGCCAATAATAGTATTATTAACTATAGCTTCAGAACTTATTTGCCTGCACAGATGGAACTTTGTACCCTTGGATCAACATTGCCTCATCCTCCACCCCCAGCAACCACCATTCTGCTTTCTATTGCTATGAGTTTGACTTTTTAAAAATTAAAATGAGTAAGATCATGCAGTATTCGCCTTTCTATACCTAGCTCATTTCACTTATCATAATGTCATCCAGGTTCATCCATGTAGACACAAAATGGCAGGGATTTCTTTTTGTAAGTCTAAATAGTTTTATATATCACATTTTCTTTATCCATTCATTTGTTGATGAATACAGGTTGAGTCATGTATTAGCTAATGTGAATGATGTGATGAATATGGGAGTGTAGATATCTCTTCAACATACTCATTTTCTTTCCTTTGGCTATATACTCAGAAGTGGGATTGCTAAATTGCATGGTAGTTCTATTTTTAATTTCTTGAGAAATTTCCATACTGTTTTCCATAATGACTGTACCAATTTTGCATTCTTAGCAACAGTGTGTAAGTGTTCCTTTTTCTTCATATTCTTACCAGCACGTCTTTTGTCTTTTTGATAGTGGCCATTCTAAAAGGTATGAGGTGATGTCTTGTGTTTTTTTTTTTTTAATTTTGTCTTTCATTGTGGTTTTAATGTTCATTTTTCTGATAATTAATGGTGTCGAGCATTTTAAAATATACCTGTTGGCCATTTGTTTGTCTTCTTTAGATAAATGTTTATCCAAGTCTTTTGTCTATTATTTAATTTTAGGATTTGTTTTCTAGATATTGACTTGTTTGAGTTTCTTATATATTTTGGATATTAGCCCCTTGTCTGGTGTATGGTTTGCAAATATTTTCTTCCATTCACTACCTTATCTCTTCGTTTTGATTATTTCCTTTGCTGTGTGAACATGTTTTCATTTGAAACAATCCTATTTGTCTATTTTTGCTTTTATTGCCTATGGTTTGGTGTCATAACCAAAAAATTATTGCCCAGACCAATGTCCTGAAACATTTCCCCTGTGTTTTATTTCAGAAGTTTTATAGTTTCAAGTCTTATGTGTAAGTACTTAATTCTCTTTCAGTTGATTTTTGTGTATGGTGTAAGATAAGAGTTCTATTTCAATCTTTTGCATGTGGATATTCAGTTTTCTCAATATCATTTTTTTTTTTTTTTTGAGTTGGAGTCTCACTCTGTCACCCAGACTGGAGTGCAGTGGCCGCTCCCGGCCACTACAACCTTGACCTGCTGGGCTCCGGCAATCCTTCCGCCTTAGCTTTCCATGTAGCTGGAACTACAGGCACGTGCTACCACACCCGGCTAATTTTTTGATTTATTGTAGAGATGAGGTCTCGCTTGCCCAGGCAGGTCTTGAACCTGCGGGCTCAGGCGCAATCCACTCACCTCAGCCTCCCAAGGCACGGGATTACAGGCTGAGCCACCGAGCCCGGCTTCTCAATATCATTTAGTGAAGAGATTGTACTTTCTCCACTAAATGTTCTTGGTACCTTTGTCAAAGATCAATTGACTATAAATACATGGATTTATTTTGAGAATCTCTATTCTGTTCTATTGGTCTGTAGAGCAGTACTGTGTGGTTACTATGGCTTTGAAGCACCATGATGCATTGCTTAACGATGAGGATAGGCTCTGAGAAATGTTTCATTAGGTGATTTCATCATTGTGTGAACATTGTAGAGTGAATTTACACAAAGCTAGATGGTATCCTACCACACATCGAGGCTATATGGTATAGCTATTGCTCCTAGGCTTCAAACCGACACATCTTGTTACTGTACTGAATACTGGAGGCAGCTGTAACACTGTGTTAAGTGTTTGTTTCTCTAAACATAGAAAAGTTCAGTAAAAATAAAATATAAAAGACAAATGATACACCGGTATAGAGCACTTACCATGAACGAAGCTTATAGGAATGAACTGTATTGGTTAAGTCAGTGACTGAGTGTTGAGTGAATGTGAAGTCCTAGAACATTACTGTACATTACTGTAGACTTTATAAACACTGCACACTTAGATACACTAAATTTATTTTTAAAATTTTCTTGGGTGTGGTTGCTCATCTGTAATCCCAGCACTTTGAGAGGCTGAGGCGAGAGGATTCCTTGAGCCCAGGAGTTTGAGACCAGCCTGAGCAACACAGCAAGACCTTGACTCTGTAAAAAATAAAAAGGTTGACCAGGTGTGGTGGCACTTGCCTGTAGTCCTACTCAGAAGGCTGAGACAGAATTGCTTGAACCCATGAGTTAGAGGCTACGGTGAACAGTAATCATGCCACTGCACTCTAGCTTAGGTAGCAGAGTGAGACCCTAACTCAAAAAAATTTTTTTGTGTGTGTGTCAATAAGAAATTAACCTTAGCTTTTTTTTAACTTTATAAACTTTAAAATTTTTAAAGCTGTCTTTCGTAATAACATTTAGCTTAAAACACTAACACATTGTCCAGCTGTACAAAAGCATTTTCTTTTTTATATTTCTATTCCATAACATTCTTTTCATTTTATAGATTTGTTTTTATTTATTTATTTATACTTTTTAAACTTTTTTTTTTTGCTAAAAACTTAGGTACCAACACAAATTAGCTTAGCCTACACAGGGTCAAGGTAACCAATATTACTGTCTTCCACCTCCACATCCTACTTTAAGGTCTTCAGGGGCAATAAGGCATATGGAGCTGTCATCTCCTGTGATACATCTTCTGGAATACTCCTGAAGGACCTACCTCAGGCTGTTTAGCAGTTCACTTTTTTAAAAATGAGTAGTAATACATTCTAAATTAATGGCAAAATTATAGTATAGTAAATACATAAACCAGTAGCATAGCAGTTTATTACTATTATCAAGTCTTGTTTACTTTACATAATTGTATGTGCTATACTTTTAAATTAATTAATGTATTTATTTGAGATAGGATCTCACTCTGTCACCCAATCTGGAGTGCAGTGGTATGATCCCGGCTCACTGCAGTTTTGACCACTGGGGCTCAAACAAACCTCCCACCTCAGCCTCCCAAGTAGCTGGGATTACAGCCATGTGCCACTATGGCTACCCATATTTTTGTGTATTTTTGTAGAGATGAGTTCTAACTAGGTTGCCCAGGCTGGTTTCAAACCTTTTAGATTCAAGAGATTGTCCCATCTTGGCCTCACAAATTGCTGGGATTTCAGGCCTGAGTCACTTGCACCGAACTGCTATTCATTTTTATGACTGGTAGTACATCAGGTTTGTTTTCACTGGCATTACTGCAAACATGTGAAGAATGTGTCGTGCTACCACAATACAACAGCTACTACATCACTAGATAACAGGAATTTTTTAGCTCCGTTACAGTCTTATGAAACCACTGTTGTATTGCGGTTCACTGTTGACCAAAACATCCTTATATGGTGCATGACTGTCTACTTTGAAACCAGGTAGTGTGGTGCTTTGTTCTTCTTGCTCAAGATTTTTCAACCTATTTTGGGTCTTTTGTAATTTAAAAATTTTTTTTTATTTCTGTGAAAGATTCCAACATAATTGGTATTACATTGATTCTATAGATGGGTTTGTATAGTATGAATATTTTAGCAATATTAATTCTTCCAGTTTATGGAGAAGAGATATCTTTCCATTTATTTGTGTCTTCTTCAGTTACTTTCATCAGTGTTTTATGACTTTCAGTGTACACATTTTTACCTCTTTGACTAAGTATATTTCTAAGTATTTTATTTCATTTTTTTATGTTATTGCAAAAGGAGATATTTTCTTGATTCCTTTTTGATAACTCATTGTTAGTGTGTAGAAATGCAACTGATTTTTATACAATGATTTTGTATCTTGAGACATCACTAAATTCATCTGTTAGTTCTAACTTTGGTAGAATCTTTAGGGTTTTCTATATATGTGATCATGTCATCTGCAAAAGGGCAATCTTACCTCTTTTTTTGCAATTTCGGAAAATTGGAAATTTTTCCAATTTCTTTCTTTTTCTTACCTAACTGGCCAGTACTTAGGGTACTGTGTTGAATAGAGATTTTCACCATTGTGTGTGATTTGAGCTGTGAGTTTGTCATATATGGCTTATTGTATTGAGGTACATTTCTATGCATAATTTGTTCAGCCTTTTCATGTAAAAGAAGTCTTGTTAATGATTGTCTTTTTTGTCACACTTTAAAAAATTTATAAGGACTCTTTTTGGTGTTATTTGCAATGTTTTAGTTCAGACAACATTTAACTTCTTTTATAATTTCAGGATGATTAAACAATATATGAACTTCTACAAATAATTTATTTTATGTGCACAATGTTTACTTTCATAAAGAAATGCCAAACTTGTATAAATGTGATCTTGCTCAAAGGATAAATATACTATACCTTCTTTTATGGTCTCATATGTATTTAATATTTATAGGTGTGTAAATCAAAAGCAACGGTCTCTAGCATTGGGAATACAGTTTATGTTGCTTCGATTATTGGGTATGTAATTTTTCTTAATTCATTGGTAGCAGTTGACTATTTTGGTTCATTAGTTTTATTAACTTTTCACTTATGGTATGTGGCTAGAAAATAATTAAAATATAGTGGAAGACTATGTAATTGTTGAAGAAAGTTTTTTTCCAGTGTTTGAGATCTAGTATTATTTATATATGACATAAGAATATAATGACTTTACTTTTCACCTACTGTTTGGTTACCTGTTATTACAACTCCATTGCTAATATAACTCTGTAAAGCATATCATATTCATTTGAAATATAACATATCAGCACATAGTTCATTTTTTTCTTTTATCTTGATTTGTGACACTATTGTGTTTCCTTAGTAATTACAAATAATATGCTAAAAAATGTTTCAGTAGTAACCATAGCATAGATATGGTGACTAGTTAAGAATTTTTGGAAGAAATAATTTATATCAGAGAATCTTATAAAGTTCCAGATACAGGAAAGGTAAGAAGAAAGAGAGAAACATAGTAACATAATATTAACATCATTTATTTAAACAAAAACAAAAACTTTGAACATTGGAGATTACATAGTCCAACTTCCCTTGTTTTTCAGGTGAGTAATTAAAGTCCTGAGAGGTGCAGAGTTTTGCCCATAGTTACACAGTTAACGATGAAAATGGGATGAGGAAAATAATTCCTAACTTTCAGACCAGTGCTCTTTGACTATATCCTGCCAGAGGTCGTGAAAGAACAGACTGGATGTAGCTGAAATCTTTGTCTAAAACATATCACCTCAAATAATGTATTTGATTTGTAACAATTCAAATTTAGCTTCATAATTATGTGGAAGTTTAGTTCCTTTTGGTCTCAAGAGGATTTGGGGGTGGAGAGAGGTTTCTAGATAGTAATATTCCTAGATATGTTTCTATGAAAATATATCTACATTTGCATATACACACATATACCCTTATATAAAGTGTAATGGCTTATTTCCAAGACACATTCATTTATTATATTAGGCAGTGAATTAAAATATTTACTTAGCTAATTGTTTACTCAATATAAGTTAGAGATTTCTATTCAAAGTCTTTTTTAAGTTGATTAGAAATATATCATAATTACATATAATTATTTTAAATGTTTTACCTGTGCTTTTTATATTCCTTTGACTTGTACATAAATTGATTAATTTGCATGTGGACAGATTAATACATATCTTTATTTCTATAAAATATATGTGTAACCATGTATATAAAGATCTGTAATTATTAACTTTAATCTTTTCCCATGTGTATTTCACCTATAATTTTTAGGCACAATTCCTGGGCCAATTATATTTGGCACCACAATAGACAGCACATGTATTCTCTGGGATATTAATGAATGTGGAATTAAAGGAGCTTGCTGGATTTATGATAATATCAAGATGGCCTATATGCTAGTAGCCATAAGTAAGTGGTGACTTCTTGGTAATTTTATTTTATTTAGTTAATTAATGTACTTTTTTTGAGTTGGACTCACTCTGTCACCCGGGCTGAAGTGTGGTGGCATGCTCATGGCTACTGCAGCCTCAACCTGCTGGGTTCAGGCGATCCTTCCACCTCAGCCCTCCAAGTAGCTAAAACCACAGGCTTGTATCACCACACCTGGCTAAATTTTTTGATTTACTGTAGAGCAAGGTCTCACCAATTTGCCCAGGTTGATCTCGAACCCCTGGACTCAGGCAATCCCCTCGCCTCTGCCTCCCAAAGTGCTGAGATTACAGGTATGAGCCACCTTGCCAGACCCTTGATAATTTGGGAATAAACTAATGATTGTAAAAAAACAACAACAACAGCAATTTAGTGTTGGTTACTTGGGTCACAGTTGTTTTGGAATGTTTAGTCCACGTTGTTATCCATCCTATAATCCTGAAGCAGAGAACAGTAATCACAACATGTTGTAAGAGGCTGGGATGGAGTCTGCAAGGCTCGGTCTTAAATAGACGCAAATAAAATTTTAGCTTTTATTACATCATATATTATATAATTTTTCTTTAACAATTTCTCTCAAACTTTTTTGAACATTATACTCAAAAGCTAAAATAATTCTGAGAAACTCTCAGGAATGATTTATATCTGGGTATGCAGGCTTTGGAAAACATACAGCTGAGGTGGAGAAGTGTCATTTTTTTCCTAAGACACATTGTATGAAACTCTTATAATTTACAGGGTAAGCTAGAATGTTTAACCCTTTTTGCCTCTTGCAGTTTGCATACTTTAAATGAAAGTTAAGGTAAGATTAAGGAAGTAGAACAAAACATCTAGTTTGTATTAATAAGATAAAATTTGAAGTTAAAATTTCAAAAGCAACTAAAGTAATGAAAATATTTAAAACTGGAGCAATCCTAAGTTTTTATGCATATATGTAATGTGTTAGGTTACAGTTAGGATGATTTTCATTGCTATTATTTTGACACATGTATCAAAATAAGCTCATTCATCTTACATGTATTTAAATCCAGAATAAACTATCTTAATCTTGAATGACAGTGTAATAGAATATTCACTGAAGAAGTAAATATATAAATCCAAAGACAATGAGAGTAAATATTGACTAGAATAGACACATCTTCTTATTTTTTACCTGTTGTTAAAAACCACTTTATTCAGTGTGTTTATGTTTAAAACTTATTTAATAGGCTTTGTTTATAACTTTTTGGTCAAGATATTTGGATAATGAATTGTTTATTTTTCTAATGAATGATGAATATGAGACTCCCCTCAAAATTTATACACCTTAAAATTTACCAAAACAAACCACAGAGACATTCTCCTAAGAATTTCAAAACTTTTTTATTTTTATTTTTTTGGTTTGGAGTCATAATCTGTTGCCCAGCCTGGAGTGCTGTGGCACTCAGGTGATCCTTCCACCTCAACCTTCCAAGTAAGTGGAACTACAGGCATGCGCCATCATGCCTGGCTAGTTTTTGTGATTTATTGTAGAGACGAGGTCTCACCAAGTTGTCCAGGCTGGTCTCGAACCCCCAGGTTCAGGCAATCCTCTTGCCTCAGCCTCCCAAAGTTCTGGGATTACAGGCTTGAGTCATTGCACCCGACCTCAAAATCTTTTTTAATTTTAGAATTATTTTGAAAATTCTGCAACTTACTATTCAGGTTCAAGGATGGTGTAAACTCATTTTCTTTATCATTGACTTTTCTTTGCTTGTAATTTTTAAATAGATGTGATATTGTGTTAACAAATTTAGAAATGGAACATAAATTTATTTAATTCTATACAACACATTTTATAGAAATGCACAATTATATATGAGTAGGATAATTATTTTACATTACCACTGCTTAGAAAGAAAATAAATGCAAGTATAACAAACTGTATACAAATGTTTTATTTCTTTCTCCCAATGTTTTAAAACATTTAAACATGTAATCCTTTAAAGTAGTGAGTTTCTATTCAAGAAGAATTTCTCAGTGATAATTAACTTTTGCAATACTTAAAGACACAAATGCATGATTACTTTTTATTTTTAACATTTAGGTGTTACTTGTAAAATTATCACCATTTTCTTCAATGGACTTGCAATCTTTTTGTATAAACCACCACCATCAGGCACCGATGTATCATTTCAAAATCAGAATGAAGTTGTGACAACTGTTTCAGTAGAAGAGGATTTCAGCAAAATTGGAAAAGAAGGATAAAATGGCACAAGAGGAGACTGTTTACAGCTGAAAAATTTACCTACATTTTTAAGAACATACATTACCATGGCAGCATTATCTACCCAATATAGACAATCATATTTCAAAAATTGATGTTTTACAATCAAATGTATTTTTTTAACCACATATATGGACTCTTACTTGTTTTTGTTTTGTTCAAGAAACAGACCTGTGCCTTCAAAGCCCACCAAAATCCTCAGCATGTGCATGTGTGCATATGCACGCACACACGTACAATAACATTTCATTGTCTAGGTGTGAAATCTCCAACTAATGACAAGAAAAATGGCCAACAATTAGTTAAAAGTGTGCATTTTAAAAGCAGTGATCTTTCCATCTCCTTTGCAACTTGTTTAGTCGTAATTTTCATTGTCAATAGTTTGAGCTTAACTAGAACACTTAAGTATAAAAATTTAAACTAATCAAATTTATACGATTATTTTTGGGATTGATTATTGAAAGCCCATGAAGTTAAAACTAGTTTAATCATGTAATTTGTTTTAAAATTTATGTATACTAGTCTGGGCTTTCTCTGTCAAAGCAAGTAATTGAACTGTCAAAATATAGGTTAATTATTTTTGTGCCCATGTTATAGTGAATACAAAATTATCAGCATTTTATATACACATATTTTCACTGTAACTCAAGAATTCCAACAAGTAATTTGTTGATATAAATATATATATACGTATATATGTATATATACACACATACACATATACGTATATATATATTTTTTCTTTCTCAGTTGGATTCTCACTCTGTTGCCCAGGCTGGAGTGCAGTTGCTTGATCATGGCTCACCACAGCTCAACCTGGGCTCAAGCGATCCTCTTGCCTCATCTCCTGAATAGCTGAGACTATAGGTGAGTGCCAGCACACCCGGATAATATGATCACTTTTTGTAGAGATGAAGTCTTTCTATGTTCCCCAGACTGATTTTGAACTCCTGGCCTCAAACAATGCTCTTGCTTCAACCTCCCAAAATGCTGGGATTACAGGCATAAGCCACCACACCTGGCTGATATTATTGAATTTTAACACTTTTATGATTCTGTGATCGTATTATTCAGCTACTTATATTGCAAAGGAAAGTACCAGCTTCAGCAAAGTGCCAATTAGACATTAAAAGATTTCTTAGTGAACTATTGATCAATACTTGCATATGTAGTACTTCAATTTTTCTTATTTTAAAAGCCAGTCACCCAGCATATTGCTTATAGCACCTAAAACAGTACTTCTGCATTTAGTAGTCATCATTACTGTTTGGTTAAAACATTAAACCCTACTCATTAATTGATTCATTTCTTTGATATAGTAGTTCATAAACCTAATAACATTATAACTTCACCCCATCTGTTCAGGTCAGATTTATACTGACTTTACTCAGAATATGGAAGATGTAGAAATAAACATTAACAAAAATATCTTCTACATCGTAAAGAATTTTACTGATTAAGAAAAGTCCTGCAGTTCAAACCTGGAGATGATTACATTTGAGATTTTTATTAAATGAAAATTACTAATTTGATAAGATTCATTATCAGGTTTCTGCTATCAGCTTTCCCCTAGATTAGTTTTTTTTATAAGCAGTATTTTAAATACACCAGGATTAGTATAACACAAACTTAAGAGTACAGGCTCTTACTAGGATCAGAAGCAGTTGAAATTTGCTGAATTTTCAAAATTATGTTTTGTGGTAATCTATGACCAATGAAAATTCAAGTACCTAGTCGGTTTTTAAAAGTGAAATTCAAGGAAAAAGAATGAGCTAGGAGTTAGGCAAGTAAACACAAATATGAGAGAAGAAGACCATGGTTCATGAATCAGAGAGACTGTCCTACTTAAACCAGAAACATATAAACACCAAAGACCACAGCCAAATAGGTAGCCAACAATTCAGATATTAGGAAGCAGGACATTTATAGCAGCTGAAGGGACAGGTCAAAATGGGTAGGAGAACAAATATCTGATACCTTCGTTGAGAATCTCCCACCTAGTCACACTGCTTCCTGTTGAAGCCAGCATTAAAGGAAAGTTTAGGCTGTGTTCTGTGTGTTGAGGCAGAGAACTGAATGGAAGACTTTCATAACTGTAAAATATTGGCACATCCTGAGGAACTCACTGATAGAGATGTGAAACGACAGCAATCAAAAAACAATACCTTTACAAATACAGTAGTAAAAGGCCACTTAATTTAGAGGAAGAAAAAAAAATCACCCCATTTAAATAAACAGTTTGATAAACAGGTCACTAAATAATTTTCATTCATAAGGATTCTTAGTTATCAAGGGCTGCATTGAATTCTGTATACTCAGTTTTATAAGGTGACACTTTTATAAATAAACTTTTTAATGAAAATGGTTAAGGTGAAAATAATTTTGATACTTAAAGGGAGTCAGACACTTATTTATAGTATACATATTTTAAAAGAATACCTCCTTTTATAATAGGATTACACAGACACTACCATAATTTGTAATTTATAATCATTGTCTTTACTTTTGGATTTATCTAAGTCATATGGATTGGTATGCTATTTCTAGAACAAAATTTTTCTTTCTTCCTTTCTTTCTTTTTTGTGTGTGAGTTGTGAATCTTACTCTGTCGCCCAGGTTGAAGTGCGGTGGCACGCTCACGGCCACTGCAGCCTCGACCTGCTGGGTTCAGGTGATCCACCTCAGTCTTCTAAAGTAGCTGGAGTTACAGGCATGCGCCACCATGCCTGGCTAGTTTTTTTATTTATTGTGGAGATGAGGTCTCACTAAGTTGCCCGGGCTAGTCTTGAACCTGTGAAATCAGGCAATCCTCTCACCTTGGCCTCCCAAATGCTGGGATTATAGGTGTAAGCCACCGCACCTAGTCCAGAACAAAGTTTTTCATGATATGTGTCTTCACAATTTATAATGATTTTTATGTAAGCTTGAACTTACAATATGGTTCATTGTGATCGGGTACATAATTGGACATATGTCTTAAGACTTAACACTCAAATTTCCTTAATTGTAGAAAGTACAAATGTTAACCTTTTATACATGTAAAGAACTGTATAGTATTACTTTATATATGGAAGAAAAGCATAAAATTTTGGATCTATTTTCTTTAAAAATTTTCTTTATCATAAATAATTATACTATGTATATATAAATATATACTGTTTATTAAATCAGAATGTTTATACTGAATTGTCTTAAACTTGGTGAATGTAATTTAATTAATTCAGTGATTTCCTGTATGTCAACAGATGTATTTATTTCAGTATAAATCACATTTATTTTGAAATATGGACTAAGAATTTTTTGCACAATAGTTTCCATATATGATAGATTGGTATGTACGATTTACATTAGTAGGATACATTTTACAGATGGTTTATTGTAAAACCTCTGATACATACAAAAGTCATGTGTTTTGTAAGGGTTGTATTGAATTTATTTTGGTTTATTATAATACTTAGTACAATACTTTTATAGAAATGAGTAAACATTAATTTGAAATGCAATGGTTTTTTCCCCTTACTGTAAGACATTTAGCCTCCTTCAGCCTTTTTTGCATCAGTTTACAACAAACATCAACTTATACATTGCACACAAATGATCAAGAATAAATGAAAGACATAATCCACTTTAAAATATGGAATGGGCAAGTTACATTTTAGTGTATTAGCCAAAATTAATTTAGCTTAAAAATTATACTCAAGAATTGGTCATGTATATTTGCTTCTTCAATTTAGTGGGACTGACTTTTTATAACTTCGTTTTCTAATGATTTTAGACTTATAAAATATACACACAATATCTTTATATGCTTTATTCAGTTTTCCCTAATGTTAACAGTTTACATTTCGTTAGAACAATTATCTAAACCAAGAAATTTGCATTGGCACAATATTGTTAGCTAGTCTATAGACTTTGCTCTAATTTTGCCACTCATTAACACTAGTGGTCTCTTTTTTTTGAACTGTAATTTGCATTGCTGTTTTAATACTAGTGGTCTTTGTCTGATTCAGATCCTGTCTAGGATACCATATTAAATTTATTTATTACAGTTTCTTAATGTTTTCCATTGTGGAACAGTTCTTCAGTCTTTTTCTTTGATGTTGTATTTCTTTTCTATTGCTATGTATAAAACAACTCCAAACTTTAGTGGCTTAAAAACAATTATTACCTCATCATTTCTGTGGGTCAGGAATTCAGGAGCAGCTGTACTGGGTGATTCTGGTGTGAAGTTTCTCAAGAAGTTGCGGTAAAGGTTAATAACTTTCTCTAAGGACTGTAATTACTTGAAGGCCTGCTGGGATTGGATAGTCTGCTTGGAAGAAAGTGTGCTCACATGGTTGTTTGAAGAACTTCATTTCTCAACTTGTGAGCCTCTTCATAGGTCTCATGACATGGCAGCTGACTGCCCCAGGGTGAATGACTCAAAGGAGAGTGAGAGCAACCAAAACTGAAACCTTATTTTCTTGTATGACTTAATTTTAGATGTGACATGCCATTTCTTCTGCCACATTCTACTGGCTACGCAGCTAACCCCATAATCTTAATGGCATCTGTAAAATCCTTTCATTATGGAACCTAGATTCATATTTGGTTGAATAAACCAGATGGGGAAGACATCTTTAGAACTCTGAGTATTATGCCTGTACCCTGTGGAAGGAAACCACAAAAAGGTGAATACAGGGGGGTTGACTACCAAGATCATCACTGGGATGATCTTTGGGGCTGGCTACCTCACATGACCAAAATAATTTTTTGATGAGATCGGGAATGTTCAGGGTGGTATGGCCATAGACAACACTGATAATTTTGAAAAGGACTGGCCAGTTATTTTGCAGAATAACCACCAATTTGGGTTTGTTCAATGTTTTCTTATGATTATATTGATATAGTTTTTTGCAAAAGTGATGTCATGCTTTTCTCAGTGCATTTTATCTGTGAGTATATGATGTGTGTATATGACAGAACCTTGATCTTTTGGTGAAGTATGTGTTTGTCAGCAATCGTCACTCTAACTTCATTTTTTTCTTTGTGAATAAGAAGTATCTCTTAGAAAGATACTTTGAGACTGCAAATATCCTGTTTCTCAGCAAACTTGCAGCTACTAATTTAGCATCCACTGACTATTCCTGCGTGCACTTAATATGGTTTTTGCAAATAGTTGATTTTCTATTCCCATCACTTCTTTAACATGTATTAATTGG